ATGAAAAGCACTGAAGTGCAAACCCTCGGCGTACTGTGACGCGCACGCGTAAGTAAACGCATGCGCCGTACTACTAATGCTGGGCTGGGTTTAGTTTTAGCTGTTACCCGTGGTCTCTTGCCAGCTCGCGCAGAGTCTGACGCGGGCTAACTACACTACTAGATAGCATGCGAGAGGCGATACACGCCCTGCGTTGCATCTTCTGGTGCCTCCGAGGTACGCAGAGCACGCGGATCGATCATGCCGTAGTAAGCCGTTGTGTATTTGCATATTGGCTTTTTCGCGCTCTAGCTTTGCAACGGAGCGTTTTCAGCGAAAACCACACATATTTTCTGACCTTCATTGCCCGTTCAGTAGGTGGTATCCTTTGTGAGACGAACGAACACTCGAGAAGTGAGATGACGAGTAATAGACAGACACACACACAGACAGACAGACAGACCCAATGAAAAGCACTAAAGTGCAAACCCTCGGCGAACTGGGGATGCGCGGTACCGCTAATTGATGGGCTGGGCTGCTATTAGTATGCGTTTACTCGTGATCTCCCGCTAGTAGCTCGCAGAGAGTCTGACACGGGCTAGCTACAGTAGTAGATAGTATGCGAGAGTCGATACACGCCCTTCGTTGTGACTTCTTGTGCCTTCAAGATACACAGAGCAAGCGGACGACCCGGTCGAGGTTATAAGCGCATGCGCATTTTCCGCAGCGATAAAAATGGCCGACTACGCATTAGCCGTACAATGGTGGAAGCGCTCTAGCTCTGCAACGGAGCATTTTCAGAGAAAACCCCACATATTTTCTGACCTTCGTCGCCCCGTTGGGTAGATGGTAGCGTTTCTGGGACGAACAGACATTCGAGAAGTGAGATTGAGAGTAACAGACACACACACACACCCAACTACAGTACCCTCGCTGCGCATGCGCGCCGAGGGTAACTACCGTAACCCTCGCTGCGCATGCGCGCCGAGGGTTAATGAGTATTACTGAGTGAGTGTTGAAAGAACTAACGTTGAGTGAATCTCCACGATGGTGGCTGTGCCAAGACTCGGGTAGGGAGTTGTGGCCTGCTGACTGGTGTCCTCTCTTCAGTGGATGTGTGTGTGTGTTTCCAAGAAGAATCATAATATTAATGTAGCATCTGTACTCAATGACACCTGACTACCTCCATTACATAATCGTATAAACAATGTATGACACGGTCAAAGTCGCAAAGAAAATGACGGTCACGAGCAAGGCGGTAGCACCACAATGTGCTCACTCTAAATGTGGGTGAATTCATGAGCAGTGGTATAACGACAGGAGAGTAACTAGTGCTTACATATGTACACACTTATAAACTCTCACTGTATTACTCGGCAGCAGTCCAGCACCAGCACAGCCCTACAGAGAGTCTTCTGCAGCCGTGGGATATGGAGTTTGTCCCGATGCAGCTGTTGGTGTCAGGATCAGAGGCCTGTCGGTCCACTGGCATGAGGTACGAGGTGCTCCCCACGTGGAACCCGTGTCCAGAGTAGTAGAACAGGCCGTAGACTCCCGGGGACAGGAGGCTGTAGAACCAGTCCAGGACCTGTTTCAGCATCTCGAGCAGTTTCATGGTTCACAAACACAAACACCTGAAATTGGATAGACCAGAGCTCATTTACATAGGTACCAAGAAACCACATGAATTGCAGACAACAATGGTAAAGGGAATGTTGATTATAAGGGCTAAATTTGAAACTGTTCATGAATAGCACTAAGTGCAACCTTCGTGCACTAAAAATGCCAAAAGACCATGGACATAGGTCGGTGGCGCGGGCGAGCGTGGAGGCAGGGAGGGATGGCAAAACGAAGGCCCGTGATGCAGAAGCGAATAATAGGAGAGAAACGGGTGCTAATAAGCCTTTCCATATTGCTGTGCATTCTGTGTAACATCCACAGCCACAACTTCC